ATCAAAAGGTGTAGTGCTCTTTCCTTTCCTTTGCTAGCAATCTGTTGAAACAATCATATTAAATTTACCTCTTCATAATGTATCTGGTCATTTGTATAAATATAGTGAGAGATATTATAAGCTTACAGGGTAGCTTTTCCTGTGGACATCTTGCTATATATTCTAGGCCACATTAGTTTCTCCTAAGCCCAACAGGGTCCTTATTCAGTTACTTCTTTGGGGGTCATATCAGAGTTTATTCCATGATCACGCTTTAATGTAATTCACTTTTTATAGTGCTTTAGACATTCCCTTCAAAGGCTTTCCCTAAGAAGCCAAAGTAGCTTATGACTTACCCTGGATCCATCCAAGTACCTCAGCGTGACCCCTTCATGGGGTGTTAAGAAGTAAGTTTCACTGAGGCTTAAGTCAAGTATATATGACAGATGCTCAAGAGTAAATACTATTGGGAATCAAGTGAATTCCATATTAGAAAAACACAGTATTAATGTTTTACTGTGTCTATACAAAAAGGGTATTGGACTGAAATAAACTATGCAAAAGACATAAAAGAGAAATGCAATATTTTACTTACAGATACAAAATCTAGAACCCTCAGAAGATTTGACCTGCAGGTTACAGAGTCTGATTTAGACACTTTTGTGATGAACAATTAGGTGAAGAGGAACACAAAGGAGAGCCCAAAGATAAACACAGAGCAGCGGGAGTGCCCCCATGAGCATGGCTGCGCCTCAGGAGCACTATCTTGGGTTTAACTCAATAAAGCTAAGCTCCCTGCAGGAGGATAAAGGACAAAACTAATGTTACTTTTTTAAATGCTTAAGACTATAATCCAACAAAAAGGACAGTGATTCTTCCAACCACTGACCTGCTGGTTACTAATTTGAGCTGCAGTCCAGGGTAAGAGAGTAAGTGCAGACAGTGACCAACCTGGTGAGTCCTGCCCCCAGGACTGCCCAGTGAAGGAGGCAGGAAGAGTCACAACTGATTTACAGTGAGAGGCTTCCAACAGGGAAATCAAGGTAAAATTGCATTTAGATGTTGCTTTAGTACTGAAAAAAGAAAAAAGTTGTTATATTCACACTGTGGTAGCAATGCCTATGTGGAAACAATTTTAAATCTTCATAATAGCTATTGTTAATAAAATTCTTGAGATTTTTAAATTAGAATTCACATCTCAAACAAAGGCATGGGTATATTTAGAAATGTATTATCCATGTCAATTTTTTTTATCCTACTTAACTTGGCTGATGACAGGACCTGATCAAATGAGTGAAAAGGGAAGCAATCCATGGCTTGGAGGCCAGCCACACATGCTAGGGGAAAAAGGAGCTCAGATAGAGAAGGGAGCAACAAATAAAGGGTGTTGGGAGGATCCTCCCAGGATGGGACAAGCATGCTGAAAGTAGACTATAAACCAAACATGATTGCCACTCAGTAGACAAAAAAAAAAAAAGAATTCAGACCCCTTCCTAACACCATGCACAAAATTCAATCAAAAATGGATTAAAGACAACTACATCAGACCTATATCCATAAACACAGAGAAATGCATGGGATATGCCAGGAGTCATCATCAGATTAGGTAGCCAAGAATCATTCCCTCTTATTCTCTATGCATTGATAGTCTCAGGCTGTGAAGTGTCTGTCCTGGTGCGACCTTCTATTCTAGAACAAACTAGTGGAAAATCTCTGAGATCCAGAACAATGCAGAGTTGAAGAAATGTTCTTTAGCAGGTGAGTGAGAGAGAAAGAATCTAATTCCCAGTTTTGCTGTACCAGCAGAAAATCCTAGGCTGTACTTTCAGCTTCTACCCCTCTGGCCCCAATTCTTATTTCCAAGGGAGGCCCCCATGTAGCTCAATGGACAGCCCTTCCCTGTGAGAAATCACCAGAAGAACACAGCCCTAAAATATGGGGTTTATCTTGAGTTAAGCAAGACTAAGGGAGGGCACTAGCCCTCGAAGGATATTTTTTGCTTAAGCCAGTAAAGAATTCTTTGACCTAAGCAGGAAATATTATTCTGGGAAAGTATGGAATTCAGCAGGATAATTCCTGCTAGGAAGAGGCTTGAACACATTTACGGTGAGTCATAGCATAAACATATTGACAAGAGAGCCTGCCAGCAGGATCGAGCATCCCCACAATCTCAAAGCTGTTGCTTATCTCCTGCGTGTCCCCATGCCTACAGCTGCACTTACAGTTTATCCTTTGCCCCACATACTAACTCATGAATGGTGTATGTGATGAGAAGGAGGAGGGAAATGGAGGCTGGACTAATGAAAAGGCCAAGGAGCCTTTTGTTTGGGACTCTCAAGGCTAACTTGCTGCCTGGACAAACAACTAGATCTGTCTCATTTTTTGGAGCCAAACTGAGGGACAGAGGTCAAAGGTACCAATCCAATTGATTTTATTGTGGCAATCTACCACCCCTCCCAATGGGACAGTGTCCAGGGTCAGTACACACGGCTCCTGAGCTGTCCTGGTTCTGACTCTGCTGTTCCTGCACTGAGTCCTGTGTCCTGCTTGGGACAGTGAGGAGAAAGGAGACTGCAGAGAAAGGGAGGATGGGGAGCTGGTGTGGGCCTGTTTTCTCATGCCCCAGAGAACTGCTACTCTCTCACCCATTTCCCCATATTTTCCTGTAGAAAACTATTAAGCACCTGGAAGAGCTGAGAGATGGTGACCCAGGAAGGATTCTGGGTTCCTATAGACTTGGTAGCAAAGCCAGAAACATCTGGAGTCAGTGATTTCTGAGCTGGTCAGCAGACTTCCTGATTTGATTTTGTGCTTGATTTTTGGGGGGTTCATAAAACAACTTTCTGGTAAATTCCTCTTCCTTCTTTTCAGAAGTTAAAGAGGGTATTATTCTTACCTTGTCCCCTCTTCTTAGAACAAACTCAGGGCAAAATAGTAGCAAAGCCTTACACTTCCTCCTTGATCAGACAGGGCTCCACCCCAGGTAGTATCACTTTGGAGTTTAGTTTAGTCAGAGTGACTTTCTTTATAGAGGACTGATAGTTTCAACTTCCTGGAGACTGTCAGGAATAAGGACTGTCTGCTCTGTAGAAAAGGTATTGAAAATTCTAGATCTTTGTCTATGGTAGTGAAAGAAGCATGAATGTGGGTATGCGGTATGTTTGGGGTGTGTGTGTGTGTGTGTGTGTGTGTGTGTGTGTTGTGTGTTTATAGTAAAGAGTCAGAGTTTGTGTGGGGACTGTGTGAGTTTGTGAAATGCAAATGAGTTTGTAGGATCTGTGAGTTAGAGGGATGTGAGTATATTTGTCTGATAGTTTGTGGGGGGTGGGTGTCTGTCTGCATGTGTCAGTGATGAGAGCCTTACAAACCTTAAAGTTTTCTAGATTTTATTTTCTTAGTCTCCCCTCTGTCTGTTTTTTTCTCTTACAGACTCCAAGACATATCTCAGCAGATCCAGAGTCTGAGGTGAGTAAGGCCCAGGCGGGGAACCCTGAATATATTGGAACACACACAAAGGGGAATAAATTGTGCAGTAAGATATTCTCTATGCCTCTAAAGAAATAATTCTCATAGCTTATTTTGAGGCTGGAGCGATAGCACAGCAGTAGGGCGTTTGCCTTGCACGCAGCCAACATGGCCAACCTGAGTTCAATTCCTCTGCCCCTCTCGGAGAGCCTGGCAAGCTACCGAGAGTATCTCGCCCACACAGCAGAGCCTGGCAAGCTCCCCGTGACATTTTCAATATGCCAAACACAGTAACAACAAAGTCTCCAATGGAGACGTTACTGGGCCCGCTCGAGCAAATCGATGAACAACGGGAGGGCCTTTACTTACTTTTTTACTTTTTTTTTTATTTTGAGGGAAATGCCTTTGTAGTAACTTTAGTTCGAAAAGCAGCAGCATTAGTTATTGGGATAATTCATCAGTCTTAGAACATAGAAGCATTTCTTTTCTACCTCAACTTGCATCTACTCCATCCCCAAAAATATTCAACAGTGAGAATAGGGGACAGGGATTCCCCAAGTCATAAGGACATGGATGAAGAGCAAAACTCTGTGTTTCTTGAACAAAGTCCTGTGTTTCCATCTCAGGTCCTCACTGCTGGACACCAGGAGATAAACCACCAGGATCCACAGAGGCCTTTTGTTCCAATCTGTTCTCTGTCCCACATCCAGATTTCTGGTAAGTTTGTTGACTCTAGTCCTTCTAACCTTCTGGGAGACAGGTTGGCCTGAGAAGGGACAGTCACCTCTCTGGGTCTCCAGGAGCTCTGCTCTCAGGATAATTCCTTCCCCTTTCACCTCTTTCAACTCTGTCCTCAGTTCATAGAAGATGACTGGAGGGCACACAGCTTCTTCAGGTTGACTGTTGGCCTTATTTTCCTCCCAGAAGAAGCTCTATTAAGGGTATTTTTACCTCTACCTTTTACTCTTTGAACGTGGGAGACTGTAGCAAGAACTTAGAATTTTTCCTACTCAGTGCAGACAGATGTGATTTTTCTCAAGGAATCCTTCCTACCTAATTCCAATAGCAGATACAAGGAAATCAACCCAATACTGATGAAGTAACTTCTAATAGAATGGGATTCTCAACCCCAGCATGAGTGTCTCTCCTTTGCTTTAGTTTTGTCAGGAAGCCTGTGCTTCTCTCATTCTCTCTGAATTTCAGGTCCAAATAATTCATGAAAAAAAGTGCAATATTTGACTGGTCTATTATTTCACCACAGCACAGCAAATAATAAACAACTGAAACATTGTTTGTCTAATGAAGGAAATAAATATTGCAGTTTATTCAATTTTTATTACACTCTATCTAAGGGAATATGCATGGTTGGGAACACTATCTTTGACAACACAGTTACATAAAATGAACCTTCTCATTTTAATCTATATCTCTCAGATGTTTTTCAAGTTCAGAGGAGGTACAAAAACTCAACTTAGTTGTATTTCTGGCACACTGGAAAATTCTGATTGCTTAATCTCTGCCACTTGATCCAATACCACAGAATTTCCGGAAAAGCCATGGCCTCAGCTACAGTTACCAAGAAGTTGAGGGAGGAAGCTACCTGCCCCATCTGCCTGGAGCTGATGACTGAGCCCGTGAGCATTGACTGTGGGCACAACTACTGCCACCTGTGCATAGTGGAACTTATTGGGAGCCAAACATCTCATACATCATCACTGAGGACATTTCATTGTCCTCAGTGTAGAAAACCTTTTAAAAGTGATAGCATCCGGCCCAACAAGCAGCTGGGAAATATCATTGAAACCATAAAGGAGACAGACCACGAAAGTTTGTGTAAGGAGCATGGAGAGCAGCTCAACTTGTACTGTAAAGATGATGGTCAGCTCATCTGCTGGCGTTGTGAGCGGTCACCACAGCACAAAGGACATGTCACTGCTCTTGTTGAAGATGCATGTCAAGGCTACAAGGTGAGTGGTGGGGGACTGAAAGCCTCCTAAAAACCTCATCTACAGTTGCTCTGAAATCAGCTTTACTTATTTATTTGACAAAAAACATTTTCGTTGTAGTCTACTGAATGTAACCTGCCCACACGGCAGAGTCTGGCAAACTCCCCGTGGTGTGCCCTATATGCCAAATACCAGTAACAATGATGGGTCTCATTCTCCTAACCCTGAAAGAACCTTGCTTGCCAGGCTTTGCAGTGCGGGTGAGATATTCTCGGTAGCTTGCTGGGCTCTCTAAGAGGGGCGGAGGAATTGAAATCGGGTTGGATGTGTTGGCCGTGTGCAAGGCAAATCTCCTACCACTGTGCTATCCTCCAGCCCCTCTACATATGATAACTTTGTTTCACTGATATTTTTTCTACCTTATAAAACTTTCATTTTATTTCCATATATTCCCAAGCAATTTTTGCTTGTTTATCTTTGTTTCCCTAGTTATTGAGTCAACTCTTCAAAATTATTGAAGCCATGCTGCAATTTTTTCACATACTTTCCTCTTTGTATTTTATGGCTTAAGTCTTATGTCTAATTTTTTAGTACATTTTCAGCTAAATTTTGTGTATGGTGCGAGGAGCAGTCGTTCATTTCACATTTTTATAAATGGATACACAGTTTCCCTAGCATTGTCTTTGGCCTTACCACCCTGGCAACCAATCTTGCCAGTTTCCTCAGCAGTATGTGTTGAAGAGAGTTTCCTTTCTACATAATACATGCCTGTATTATCCTTTATGATAAGTAACCAGATATGTATGGTCTTTTTCTGGGTTTTTTATTTTATTCAATGTGGTGTGTGTGTGTGTGTGTGTGCGTGCGTGTGTGTGTTGCGTGTGCACATGCACGCATTTGTATGGCCTTCAGGATCTTTTGTGAGTTCGACAAATTTCAGTTCTTATTTTCTACCTTAGAAAAATGCCATTGGAGAGATGCACCACGGCTTCGGGAGTGAAGGTGCCACTCGCCCCTACGAAGCTTCACCATCTCCTCCCCCAAGAGACCATTGCAGCCCCCGCTCCCCAGTAACCACGTGCGACCAAAAGGCAGTGATCAAAAACGCGGATATGTCCGAGGAGATGCAACAGCACTCGGTGAAGTGTGCGACTCAGGCGCTGGAGAAGTACAGCATGTTGGTGGATATCGCGGCCCACATTAAAAAGGAGTTTGACAAGAAGTACAATCCCCGCTGGCACTGCATCGTGGGGAGGAACTTCAGTAGTTACGTGACGTACAAAAAAAATCACTACATACTCTTCGAGCTGGGCCAGATGACCATTATGCTGTTCAAGCATGGTTAGAGCCTGAACTGTGCGGCACCCAGTGATCCATCCAAAACGAGGACTGTAGCCTAAATCTCAAATAACCGGAGACTGAAATCATCAGCCTTGTCTAAGGGAACACCTCAATCTCTGAACCTTTGTCGTGCTGTTTTGTACAGGGCTTATTCTCTGTACCAACTTGTTGTGGTTATGAAACAATCAGCAACTCAGTTTACATTTGTGTTTATTTTCTAGTCCACACCTCTCTTTCCATGTTTTTTTTCTTCTAAAAGATCATTCCTTTCAAAAATAAATCTGTTGGAGAAGTGTGAAAAATAATTCTATTGGAACTTTAATAGAAATTGCAGAAAATCTTTCAATTACTTTGAGCAAGATGCCCAGTTAATCAGTGTTATTTTTTTCTACAGATATATAGAAACACCTTTGCATTTTTTGGTTGTTCATCTTCTTTTATTTCTTAGATCAATGTATTAATAGATCTTTGACATATCTTCAAACTCCTTTGTTATGTTTGCTCCTTGTTTTTATTTTTTTTTAAATATTTGAGTTTTGGAAAACAGCTGGTGATGCTCAGGGTTTACTCCTGGTTCTGCATTCAGAAATTCTCTTAGCAGTTCTCAGGAGACCTTATGGAATGCCAGAGATCAAAATTAGATCAGCCCCCTACCTGCTGTAATTCCTCCAACCCCTAAAGAATTCTTTCAAAAGTTCTCTCAAAATTGGTTTCATGGTTGTAAATTCCCTAAGCTCTTGCCTGTCCATGAAGCTCTGTACGGTTCCTTATAATCTGAATGATAATCCAGCTGGAGAGAGTACTCCTGGGGAAGTTTTCATTTCATTGAGTTTTTGTACCGTGTACCTCCATTCTTTCTTGTCTTTTGGTCATATTTGAGAACTCTGTTGTACATCACATGGACTTTCCTATCTATGGAAGTTACTGTTTTGATCTTGCTGCTTTCAATATTCTATCTCTATCTTTGGAATTTATCCTTTTAAGTATAATTTGTCTTGAAGTTTTCCTTGTTAAGTCTATTTTTCCGAGAACCTTCATGCCTTGGATTCTCAGTGCCCATATTCCTCAACTCCTGAAAATTCCTATAGATAATTTGCTTAACTATTTTTTCTTCATGAAATTTGCTTTTCCGTTTTTCAGGGACACTGGTGATTCTACTAGTATTCCTTTTAACTTGTCCTATACTTCCCTGATATGGTTCATTTCTTTTCTACTATTTTCAACCTAGCTGTTTCTTGCTTCTCATCTTGGAGCTTCCTTATTTTTTGCTATATGGAGTTATTCTGCCGCTCAAAGCTTCTAGTGTGTCTGTATATCTAATTTACCATGCTCTTTATTTCTTCCTTTTCTTCTGATTGCAGTAATCTTCTAATTTCAAGTCTTTCTTGTGCTTTGTTGATTATGTTTGTCATCATTTCTTTGAGCTCATTAAACATCTTCATCATGTGTCAACAAAGTCACTGTCTGAGGATTTCCTGAGCTGGTTGCTGTTGTTTGTGCCTTCAGTGATATTGTTTTTATTCAGTGAACTTGGGTGTTGAGGCTACTGGGACATAGGCAGAATAGAAGGTTCTGCTCCCTTTCCATAGTAAGCCCAAGGTTATAAGCAAGAGATTGGTCTCACCTGGAATGGTGGCAATTCCAGTAGAAGTTCAGTGGTAGTCTCTAGCAATTTCTCTATTATTTTTTAATTGAGCATTATTTTCATAAAAGAATCTTGACACTTGTCATTTGATTTTTTCACTTCTACTGAAAAAAAGATGTTTAGTTATCTTTTGGTTTCTGGGATATAGTATATTTCTTCAGTTTCATATATATAAAAGACCTTGGGATCCAAAATCAGACTGACAAATCACAATATCAGATGGTAACAGTGAACACTATTGAATTAGCTTTGCTAAGTATTTTTGAGGATTTTTAGGTATATGTATAATAATAATGGTCTATTATATTACCAACAGGTTTCATCCTTGCCTCCTGTTGGTATTAAGTATGGCTTCACTCAGAAATTCTGCATGTGGGGGAAAGTGTCTGCCATGGAGGCAGGGGAAGAATTGAAAAGCAGAAGTCTACTGGGAACATTAGTGGTGGAAAATGTGCACTGGTGGATAGATGGGTGTTTGATCATTGTATGATTGAAACTCAAACATGGAAGCTTTGTAAATGTATCTCACAGTGATTCAACAAAAATAAAAAGAAAAAATAGAAAAGGTGAGAAAACCTGAAAAAAAGAAGAAATTGTGTATGGAAGTTTATTATTTCCTGCCTATACTGGTACAATTTCAGAGGGTATAGGATATCTTTGAATCTTCTCTAGATCTCACCAGTGAAAGTTCTGGTCATGGAATTTTCCTCGGAAAGGAATTTTTACTTCCACTTTCAAACTGCACCTAAAATGTTCAGGGTTTGCTCCTGGCTCTGTGCTGAGGCATCAGTCCTGAATGTACTCAAGCACCTTACGCAGAGTGTGGATCATTTCAGGTTCACTTGCTTACAAAGGAAATAGCCTCACTTCTGACTTTCCAAATTTATTAGAAATTGCATCTCATTTTAAAGAAGAAAAGATGTGGTATCACCCCTGGAAAACTACCTTCAGTAAGGGACCAAAATAGAGAGCACCCTGCAGCCCAATTACATTCAAGTTAGTACTATCTATTGGGGTCATTACAGAACATTCAGGGTAGAATTCTCATCGGAAAATAGTGAGAGGGCTGGAGTCATAATACAACCTATAGGCAACTAGTCTTGCATGAGACAAACAGGGGTTTGATCTCCGGCATGCCATATGATTCCCGATACACTGCCAGGACTTACTTCTGAGAGAAGAAACCGGAGTAAGCCCAGAGCATCGCCAGGCGTGACCCCAAAGGTCAAAAAAAAAAAAACAATTAACATTTGCCTGGTATCCCTTGATGGTGGAAAAGTCCTCAAATGGGGGAGAAAAGAAAGAACTCCTATACTCAAGACTGATGACAAGGGCACAGATAAGAAAGTTTCCTTGGTACCATGCCCCTGCCATGGTATGAGTGGAGGGAAAGATAGGTGAAAACACAAGAGTAGAATTTAGACCTTCAACCATGATCACAGTTGAGGGTATTAATCATAGTTTAAAGGAGTACTGGGAACTGAATGTTTCTGGACAAATGTTGACATTAGAAGACTATTCTGTCTCAAAATAAAATAGAGCCAACACTTTCTAAAATTCATATTATTCCCACAAATATAGAATGGGGGCATAGTTAAATAAAGACTTAGAGGGGTAGTTACCTATTTAGAAATGAATGCCTGTGAATGAACTCCAGTGAGAGGTTTAAATTAACATACATGCAAAGACATGTATGAAGATTGCCTTGAACTTTGTTGGAATAACAGAGTGGGCACTGTCCTGCTGCTTCATTCCTTAACCCTATGTGCAATTGAGGAATCTGCTGTCCTCTTGAACAAATTTCTGAACCCCATAAAAAGAGTTGTTTTCTAAAACACAGAAATTATGTTAAGCATCTTACTAGTTTTGCAGATTTCCATAGATATCAATTGTGTTACTGGACTGATTACTCTTTCTCTCATCATGTAAGGGCTCACCAAATACTCAACATTATTCTAATTGTCTGAAAGCCTATAATTTCTGTTGGATGTTGTGAAGAGTTATCCAATTGAATAAACTAACACCCAATTTTTCTATTAGGAACACATCTGGAAAGCATTCACAAAACTAAAAGAAAAAAATTCAAATATAAGCAGCTGAAGCTGGACACAACTCGGAAAATAAGTAGTTGGGAGGTGAGAGTTTGAAGCTTCTTGTGGTCAAATTATGTGCCATCACCTTGTCTAGTAGCAGGTATTGCTTGTGAAAGCATATGGGGTATATTACTCAATAAATTGTCCAGATTGTTAAAAATAATGTAGAAAACACCATTTCCCTTACTCCTTCAGTTATATCACTTGTATCACTTGTCATCCCATTGATCATTGATTTGCTCCGGGGGGGGGGGGCGCCAGTAATGTCTCCGTCCATCCCTGTCACATGCCAGTGTGGTCCAATGGCATGTGCTTGCTTCAGGAAAACAAAGAACCTCAAAGCATTCGTTCAGGGTTTTGACAAAGAAGTCTGACCATCTTGTAGATGGGTGGCCATGCTATCTTTTGACGTCCCGTGGAATCCAGTCAGTAACGGTTCTAGTCCAGCAGTCATCTCCAGACTTTTGAGGCGTATGTTAATGCAGGAGGAACAGTGAAGTCGAAGAGGTGTGCAGAGACGGAAGTTCTTCATCCTCTTGGCTATTTCTTCAACCCTCTTGAAGGCGTTCCATGCCACTCTCTTCCTCCTGCACAACTCAGGTGCCAGATCGTTCGTCATGTTGAGTTCTCGACCTAGGTACACATAACTGTTGCATGCAAAGATGTTCGTTCCAATGAGAGCAAATGGAAAGTCAGGAACTAGTCCATTTTTGATAAACATTGTCTTCGTGAGATTCAGCTGCAGTCCGATCTTTCCACTCACAGTCGAAGTTAGTCAGCATTTGTGCCACTTGGCTAATGTTTGGTGTTATTAGAAGGATGTCATCAACAAAGCAGAGTTGGTATAGTTGTCGACTGTTTATCTTCACTCTCATTTCTTCCCATTTTAGTTATCGCATGATGTTCTCAAGGGTGGCACTGAAGAATTTCTGTGAAATAGTATCACCCTGTCAAACCCCTCTCTTTACATTGATGATCACTTCCTTGTAGGATGGTGAGATCCTGGCAGTGACTCTATAGTGCAGCTCACAGAGGATCCTGATGTACTGAGTCTGAATGCTCTGTTTGGCTAGGGCTTCACTGACCACTTCCATCTCAACAGAATCAAAGGCCTTCTTTAAATCAATGAATGTTAGACAGAGCGGCATCTTGAAGTCCCAAGAAACCTCAATGAGTTTGGTTATCGTGTGGATATGGTTGATAGTGCTGAATCCTTTTAGGGACCCTGATTGCTTGTATGGTTGTCCTTTGTCTAGTGTTCTGCCTA